CACCCAAGCTCCAAGGGCCTTTCTTTACCTGTATAACTGTTTCCTACACCCATTCTTCTAGGAATTAGGTCTTCTACCTCTGTGATTTTATAAATAAATGTTCTCTTATAGTTTGAGTCTTGGCTCTGAATTCTTTCCTAGCCAGAACTCAAGTACCAAGGTTGCTGAATGCAGGTCTGGTCTGACCCCACTTGGTGCCATTCCCACAGCCTACAACATATTTGGTGCCGAGACCCAAAGTGTTCTTACTGTGACTTGGATTGTTTCATCACTGGTAAGCCTTTGTCCTTGCCACCTTGGCTTGAAGGACATGACTAACTTCTCTTTCCTCCCTGCAGATTGCAGCACTGTGCGGGCACGGACGAGCATTTCAAAGCCGTGGAAGACTCTTGTACAGGAGTTGCTGGTCATGGACCGGGGAAGTTTGCACTAGGCCAGTGATGGCGAACCTATGACACGCGTGTCAGAGGTGACACGCGAACTCATTTTTTTGGTTGATTTTTCTTTGTTAAATGGCACTTAAATATATAAAATAAATATCAAAAATGTAAGTCTCTGTTTTACTATGGTTGCAAATATCAAAAAATTTCTATATGTGACAGAGCACCAGAGTTAAGTTAGGGTTTTTCAAAATGCTGACACGCTAAGCTCAAAAGGTTCGCCATCACTGCACTAGGCAATCCACCGACTGTAGGACAAGGCCCCTGCACTGGGAACACGAAAATCACACAAGGCCCTTCCCGTGCTGTTCCCCATCAGGTTACTAGTTCCAATGGGGAGAGAGAGATCCTTGCCCTTCGACTGGAAGGATGTTCTTCCCTTTCTCTTCCTTCCTTTGTGTCTGGGGTTAAATTCAGGCTTTTTGGAAATCCTCAAGGTGGAGCTAAGGGTTGAGGGTTCAGAGACCTAGGCTATCGATAAGAATTGAGGTAACTAAAGGCCAGGGGAAGAAAATGAATGGCTCCTTCATAGCTTTGGCTTTTCGATTGGAATTGCTTTCTGAGGATCTAAACGAAACCTTTTGCTGGACAAATCAGAGCCTAAACTCATTCTGTTTCAAAAATTAGGGACACCCGGCAGTTCCTAATCTTCCTAGAGAAGGCAGACAGGATTTTCCCTCGGGGCCTGAGGTGCTGTCTGTCTGTCTGTCCGGCCCAGCTGACATAGGTCACCAGGGATCTTCTCTGATCCCTGTCGGGTTTCCTGACTTTTGTGTTTGTTTATTGATTTCAGAGAGGAAGGGAGAGGAAAAGAGATAGAAACATCAATCATGAGAAAGTATCATGATTGGCTGCCTCCTATATGCCTCACACTGGGGATCGAACCTGAAAACTGGGCATGTGCCCTGACCGGTTGGGAATCAAACCGTGATCTCCAGGTTCATAGGTCAACGCTCAACCACTGAGCCACGCCAGCTGGGCTAGAAGTTCCCTGTCTTTTAAAACACCTTTTCTGAATACTCCCTAAAGTCCCTGAAACCAACTTCTATGAGAGCCTTAGGGATAACTTAACAGGGACTCTCCCTTCCCTCCGAGGGGCAGCTGTTCTCTCGCTCCTAGGCTTCGTAAGGGACCAGGACTTTGGGGAACATGAAAGGCAGAGGCATCAGGTCACTGGCCCAACTACTGAAGCGGAGAGTTATGGGATGAGTTTCCTGGGTACCCCCTGTACGAAGGTTAGGTCCAGAGGCAGACAAGCAGGGACACCTCACTTGGGATTGGCTTCGTGTAGAGTTGAGTCCACCGCCCCCCCTCTGCCCACCCCCCCCCCCCCCCCGCACACCCCCTCCGGTCTGAGTGGAGTGAGTCTATTGCTACAGTGCTCAGCCATCACTGTGACCGTTGGTATGTCTGCACCCAGAGCTCGGGGTGTGCACTCCACACCTCAGGTAATTCCCAGGCAACAGGGAACCTGCCCTACTGCAGTTCTGACCACAGGACGGCTCAGGATAGCCCCAAAACTAGCAGGGACACCTCTCTCAGCCTGGAATCTCTCTGTCTCTCCGTACATGGGGAACCAGTCCACAGTGCCTTAAGATAATCCTTTGGAAGAAATTTGACCTGAGTCCCTCTGGCTTCTTTTGCAAGAGTCTGGCCCCTCTGTAAGTGGACAATGGAGAGGTTTGGCCAATTAATGGCATCATTAAGTTTAATGCTGTCCTGCAGTTAGACCTGTTTTGCTGTTCCCAAGGGAAACGGATGGAAGATGAGGCCTCCTTAGATCAATGTCTATTCCATACATGCAAGCCTTCATGGCTCTCAAAAAGGACCCTCTACTGCAGCGGTTCTCAACCTGTGTGTCACGACCCCTTTGGGGATCGAACGACCCTTTCACAGAGGTCGCCTAAGACCATCGGAAAACACATATATAATTACATATTGTTTTTGTGATTAATCACTATGCTTTAATTATGTTCAATTTGTAACAATGAAAATACATCCTGCATATCAGATATTTACGTTACGATTCATAACAGTAGCAAAATTACAGTTATGAAGCAGCAACGAAAATAATTTTATGGTTGGGGGTCACCACAACATGAGGAACTGTATTAAAGGGCTGCGGCATTAGGAAGGTTGAGACCACTGCTCTACTGTATATGCTACCCATAAACTAGATCGCTCTAATTCCTATAGAGCCTAAAAGAAAAATGTCCCCAGATGGAAGGAAACATTCCAAAAATGGATGAAGAAATGTGTTAGTCCTTTGCCAGCACTTGCCAATCTTTAATGACTGCCCTTGTTTTACAAATAAGTAAAGAGGTATGGCTCCAGAACATCAAAGCCCACTAAATTCTTTTACCTTCCCCAAAACTTCCCATTTGGCTCAAAATGCTTATAGATAATTGGCTTATGAACCAACATCCTTCTAGGAGAAGCTGGCATTTCTTTCCCTGTACCTTTGAGATACAAATACCTACTCTTCTTCAAAAACTCTTATCTGGGCCATCTTTTAAAATGCAAGTTTCTGGGAGGTAATCCTTATCCAAAGAAAAAACCTTAGCCATTTAAGAAGAACAATTAACTCATTTCAGCTGTTAAACAATGATTGCTAGACAACTCTTAGGTTCACCTACTTTGGGCCTTTTATTACAGAAAAGCTAGAAAATACTCTTGAAACTGTTAGTGAATGTCATACTTTATTAGAAATATGTCTCTTAAAAGTCTGAGTGTGCCTGGCCGGCATGGCTCAGTGGTTGAGCGTAGACCTATGAACCAGGAAGTCATGATTCGATTTTCCAGTCAGGGCACATGCCCAGATTTCGGGCTCGATCCCCAGTTTGGGGCATGCAGGAGGCAGCCCATCAATGATTCTCTCTCATCATTGATGTTTCTATCTCTCTCTCCCTCTCCTTTTCTCTCTGAAATCAACAAAAATCATATCCTATATAATAAAAGGGTAATATGCAAATTGACCCTAACAGCAGAACCATGGAATGACTGGTCACTATGACACACAGTGACCACCAGGGGGGCAGACGCTCAATGCAGGAGCTGCCCCCTGGTGATCAGTGCGCTCACAGGGGGAGCTCTGCTCAGCCACAAGCCAGGCTGACGGCTGCCAGCACAGCAATGGTGGTGGGAGCCTCTCCCACCTCCTCAGCAGCGCTAAGGATGTCCGACTGCAGCTTAGGCCTGCTCCCTGCTGGCAAGTGGACATCCGTTGAGGGCTCCCAGGCTGCCAGAGGGATATCGGGCCTAAGATATCCGGGGAGTGGGCCTAAGCCAGCAGGTGGACATTCCCCGAGGGGTCCTAGACTGTGAGAGGGCACAGGCCGGGCTGAGGGGACCCCCCCCCCCCCGAAAGTGCACAAATTTTTGTGCACTGGGCCTCTGGTGTATATATAAAAGCCTAATATGCAAAGTGTCCCCTAGGGAGTCGGACCAACTGGGAGTTCACTCACTCGCTATGATGTGCACTGACCACCAGGGGGTGGCACAGAATGAAGGAAGGCCTGCAACCAGCAGCCAGGGAAGGGAGGATCCAGCTGGCAGCTGCTAGGGACTCTACCCGTGCACGAATTTCGTGCACTGGGCCTCTAGTATACGTATATATTTTTACAGTGTGAGTGTGGCAGGTTTGGCTCAGTGTATAGAGCATCCGCCTGCAGACCCAAGGGTCCCAAGTTTGATTCTGGTCAAGGGCATGTACCTTGGTTGCAGGCTCCACCCCCCCCCCCACACCCCCAACCTCCCCCCCTGTCCAGGCACATGCAGGAGGCAACCAATTAATGTGTTTTTCTCACATAGATATTTCTCTCTGTCTTTCCCTCTCTCTTCCACTTGAGAGTGAATTGGGGGGGGGGGTGAATTGTGTTTCAATAGACTATAATACACAGTTGTGAATATCAGACCCTAATTTAAATAAAACTTTGTCTTCAAAGTTTTATTTTTCACCTATAAATTGAACTGGATCCTGAATTTATCTACGTTTCTTAAATATTTGGCCACACCCCTCCAAACTATGTTTCCTTTTTCTCCCATCCTTTGAATTGGAATTTTTAAGGACTAAAACTTTTCCCTTCCACCCGGACCATGTGTCCTAATTCTAACACCCAGTGCTGTTCCACCACCTACAACAGGTCAGTTTGAGAGGAGCCATGTAAGTACTCACAGGCATCGGGATGGCACCTGGAGTGCAAGGGTGGAGGGAGGGTCTCTCGTGATGGAACTGCTGAGATGGCCAAAGAGAAGAATGCATGCAAGAACCAAAAAAGCAAAAAAAAGGGTACTTGGGGAGAACTATATACTTCGAGGCAGATTAAAGAGGGAGCGCAGGTGCCCCCAACAGTAATGGAAACCAAGGGGGAAGGAAAAGATTTGAGGAATAGGAAAAGGGAAATAAGTGGAGGGGCTGGGCTTGTAAACCATATACACACACATGAGCCCAGCTGCAGTACAGCTTAACCTACGAGCAGGAAGCATGAACCTCGCACCCGCGCTGGTAAAACAGACAGACACACAGACAGACAGAGCGCTGTTAGAACACTGACCAGAATTTGGGGACGGGATGAATTTCAGACTTTCGGGGGTCTCTCGGGTTAAAGTGACCGTTGCTGGGCTCAGAGACCTACCAGCACTCAATCTATTGGACCTCCCTCCCGGGTCAGCGCTGGGACCTGGGTCTGGAAGGGCCTATCTGAAGGGAGCCGCATTCGTCCTCCTTATCAGCATTCCCTCGCTACCGCGCCGATGATGGCACCCCCACCCCCACCCCACCCCACACATGTTCTCTTTGGGTCTCAGAGAAGAGCCAGAGAACGGCGTCGACCGGGAAACAGTGGGCTTTAGGCTCCCAGAGAGGCCCTCACGCCCGGCGGAGGGTCAGCGGGTCAGCCGAGGCCCGCCAGTCCACGCGGGGGCGCCCCGGCCGCTCCACAGCCGAGCCCGCCGCCACCCGCCCAGCTCTCCGCTTAGCCCGCTTCACCGACGCCCTCGCCCGCCCCGCAAGCCCGGCTCCCCTTCCCACCTGCCGGCACCTGGGCTTGGCCTGCCCGCCGCAGCTCTCCGAGGCCGGGTCGGCGAGGAAAGCACCTTCCTCCCCGCGGCCAGCCCGCGACCTCCACCTGGAGGCGGGTGGCACGTGACCCCGCCCCCGCTCGCCACGCTCCGCCCCTCGGCCCCGCCCACACCCGCCTCCCACCTTCCAGGGCGTCGCCGACGCGGTGACGTCACGCGTTGCGTGCTCTGTAGGCGACGCTGGAGTGCTGCCGGTTCCGTGGGCAGAGGTACGCGGCGTCTGCTCCCAGAACGAGAGGGAAAAGTGGGGTGCGAGGAAGATGTAGGGGTCCCGAAGAAAGAGAGAAGCGGGTGAAGGGACCCGGAAGCCTGTCCTCCAGCCGCTGGGGTGCAGGGCGGTGTCCCGCACCCCCTCGGGCCCGTTCTGACGGGGCCGGGCGGCTGGCGCGCGGGGGCTGCGCCGTGAATTTCCTTTGCGGGGGCATTGCCCCGGGACCAGGTGTAGGAGGCTAAGGGTCAGGTTGGCGGGCACGGGCTGGGTTTTTTCCCTTTTAGTTTAGATCCCTGGGAATGTCATTTATTTGGTAAATGAACACAAGTCTGAAGACCCGGCTTGTACCCTTTGGGGAGGGAACGGGGAGCTACTGCTTAATCTCTTCCAAGGCCCTGTCTCAACGGTAAAATGAGATGATTGGACTCAATATATAATTTTAAGGCCGCTTTCGGAGCTACCATCCTGTGATTTCTGCCTCCCAGGATCTTTTTTTTTTTTTTAATCATACTCCTGGGTGGGAAGAGAAATCTTTCAACTAATGTTTTATTACTTTTAAAAATATATATTTTTATTGATTTCAGAGAGGAAGGGAGAGGGAGGGAGAGAGGGAAACATCAATGTTGAGAATCATTGATGGGCTGCCTCCTGCACGCTCCCTACTGGGGCTGGAGCCGGGACCCTTGTCAAACCTGGGACCCTTCAGTCCGCAGGCCTCGCTCAGTCCACTGAGTCAAACCAACGAGGGCTCAACGAATGTTTTAATTTTAAAAACTGGGTTGGACACACCGGTGTCGGTAAGCCGCTTGCTTTCATTAGGATTGACTGGTAAACTTGTTTGCAAGTAAGGTTTAGACATTAATACCCTAGTAGATGTGTAATTTTACTGAAAGATCAGGATATCTGTTTGTTTTCTTAATGTCAGCTCTCTGTCTTCACAGACTTAGGTGTTTATTCATATTCTCCCTCATTTCAGAGGTAAATCTCCAAAGTGTGTTAATGTTGATGCTTTTGGATTGTATGTCACCGTCTTCCTTTCGTTAGCATTTTTAAGGTCGTCTGCGTCGTCTGCCTGAGGAGAAGATGGTCAACGTCTTGAAAGGAGTGCTTATAGAATGGTTAGTAGCTTTGATCCTTCATGAGTTTTTTAAATTTCTTTTTTCTTTTGTTTTAAGAGCTGAATGAATCAAGTTTTTCACCTTCCTCGACTTCAGTTTTCTTGCTTAGATAACAAATGGAACAGATTTTGTGGCTAAGTTTCTTCCTGGTGCCAGATCTCAGTGGCTCTGTTGAACTGATGTAGTTGGCATTATTTCCACCCATTTTTGGTGGGAGGCAGCATAGTTGTTAGATTCGCGCTCTGTAGGGAAACAGGGCCGGTGTTCTAAAACCATGGGGATTGGCTGGAATTGTTGGCAGCGGTGAGAAGGGCACCGGTGTTCCACTGGTGGAGTCAGACCAGATCTTGGTTCAACAACCTCCTTCCTTGAGTTCTGGCTAAGAAAGGATTCAGAGCCAACACTCAAACTATAAGAGAACGTTTAATTTGGTCTACCAGACCTGAGGCCCTGAACCTAACTGTTCCCTATACCTGGGCTCCTGAGCATTAAAGAGAAAAAACCAACATGATATAGAAAAATGTTAGTTACATGCAAACAAGTGGTTAGAATAAGATGGAACTTGGAGACATTGTAGAAAATAGGTCTACCTTTCATCTAGCGCCAATATTCCACCTTTGTGTGGAAATTACCTAAAATCGGTACAGTGGTCTGGTAGGGCTATTAGGAAGTCACAGAGGAAGAAAGCAGTAGAAGAAATGGGCTCCGGAAACAAGTTATGGAGGCCAAAGAAAGGGCCTTGGAGCTGACAAGGGAGAGGGTGAAGGTAATGGCCTGGGAGGAAGGGGGGGAGCAGCGGAAAGGCACCAGCTTGCTCTTGGGAGAGTCCGCCTTCCTAAGGGCTTTGAAGGCGGGATTTTAGGGGAGGCCCCGAGGAGGATCTCAATAAAATATTCAGTTTTCAGGGCGTGTCCTTTGAGGAGGGTGTCAGGGGTCATTAGTCAATGTAACTGGTCCTGAGTCAGCCCAGTCTGGTTGTGCAGGGCCTGGAGCTGAAATACAACTGAGGCCTAGATGTTATCCCTAGGGGTTAATGCTTAAGGGAGTGGTTGTGCAAGGGCCTGCATGGGAGTAGAATGAGGTCACTAATTGCCCCCTTGTTCCACCCCTCAGGGGGTCTAAACTGAATGATGACCAGCGATATACAAGGGGAGGAAAGGTTATCCTGGGAGTGAGGTCCTTATTTTCCCAGTTTTGCCCGTTGCTAGGCACCTGGGGCTTTCCGCCCGGGTGACAGTCCTTGCTCTGCTCGTGTCTAACTGCCTACCACAGAATTTCAGGGCCTGCCAAGTCTTCACCTCACAAACTATGGTCTTCCAAAAATGCAGGGAGAAAAAATGCTAAGGGAGCCAGGTGAAGGTTGTTTAAACTAGTCATACATTTCAAGGGAGAAAGGAGAAACCTAAATGAGCAGAGCCCCTCAACGCCCAGCACGGGTCAGTTCCGCAAAGCCACCTAACATGGGGCTTGGTTATCGTGCAGCTGAAAACCTGAACTGCTGGATCAGTCTTGCTCAGTCTCCACTTGTTTGCTTGCCCCACCAGTAATTCGGTCTCATCTGGGAATCCTGCTCTGTGGTCACTCCCATTATCTGAAAATACTGTTACCTGTATCTCTAGGCCCCTAATATGAGTCATAATATGGATAATGGTACTGCTTACGTGATGGCAAGGCTGAGGGAGGAGCAATTCCAAATCCCAGAGTACTTCTTGCATTTATAGTAGCACTGCCCTATAGAAATAATACTGTGTGCCACATATGTCATCTTACATTTTCTAGTAGCTACATGAGAAAGTAAAATGAAACAGGTGAAATTAATATATTTTATTTAACCCGGTACGCCTAGAATATTTCAACATGGAGTAAGGCTTCAGAGTCTGTACTAAGACTTCAAAATTGTGCTGTCTTTTTCCATATTAAAGCTTCAAAATCCAATGTGTATTTTATTTTACAGCACATTTCACAGACTATCCAAATTTCAAGTGCTCAGTACTGACATGTGACTAGCAGGCTACCAACGCATAGTGCAAATTTAAAGTTTGGGTAGAGGAGACACCAACAAAAGCAGTTCAGAATAAAACAGTGCAGTTGGAGGGAAGTTAGGAATGTTTCAGGTAGGTGAGTGGGCTGTGTCAGGTGGTGGTAAGAGGTGGAATAAGATAACACACTGGAAGCCATTGTACATATGGGCACTTGGTTTTGTTTTTTTGCCTTGCCAGCAGGTTCTCCCAGAGACCATGTAGAAGTAGAATAGCCCTGTATTCAGGCAAGATATTTCAGGCCCTGTACATTTCATAACAAATTGTCCCTTAAACTTTTATCTTTTTGAATTATTACAAATTATATTTCAGGTACAGGCTTGAGAATTCAATCTCAAATTGACTGCTTTCCATTTTCTTTCAAAAAGTTTAATGGAGGCTGTCGAGTAACACTCCCTCCACGTTCTGCGTGGAGTAGAGTTCGGTATCTGAAAGTGGAGCCGCACAGCAAATGAGAGAAAAAGACACGAGATAATTTTGTAATATTGGGGACCAGGCGGGCAAGTCCAGAAGGACTTCCACCGATCTCAGGCCGCTCTAAGCTTTTATTTGATCTGGGTAGCCCTAGGGTAAGGAGGTTTGTCTGGGGTAGCCCTAGGGTAAGGTGGTTTGAATGACACATGGATTAGCTCATTGGTAGACAATTTACAGAAATAGGCAGAATATCTGATCAACAATAATCAACAAGGATCTACACTAGTATCTAAGGAATTAAGGGAACTAAGGTGGGGATGCTTCAGCTATTATTACCTAAATTAACTGGGTGATTCCTAGATTAACTGGGTGGTGCAGTTCTGACCTTTGCTAGGACTTCAAAGGTTACTAGCTTTTGGGGGTCTCTGTCTAAACTCAGCTAGTGAAGACAATGAATGGACTCCAGCAGAGGCCATTGATATAAATTGACTAACCAACCAGCCACTCTCTTAACCCTACCAGACCGCTGTACCGATTTTTCGGTAATTTCCGAATCTGCCGCTATACCGCTGTACCTAATTTTCGGTACTTTGTCTAGTACGTGAAAAAAATGCATCGCAAACTAAAAATAACCAACCAATCGTGGTCAAACCTCATGGTTAGCCATTGCAAATGTCTGCCCCCATGTGTTTGAATTGACTTTGTGTGGTTTGACGTGAAAAAATTCTGAAAATTCACAATGAAACGAGCAGCTGATGAACCAAGCACTTCAACAGGAAAGCGAAGTAGGTCTAGGCTTATCACAGTCCAACAGGAGATCGATACTTTGGTTGATTCAGACTCTGAGGAGTCAGAATTTCATCAAGAATACGTTTCCAGTTCAAGTGACACAGACAGTGAGAGCTCGAGTGATGAGGAGAATCTTGACCCTTACAGATCTAGAGCTAGATCGATAGTAAGAGAAGGGGGGCGTGTCCCTCAAACAGCTGATGGGGAAGATCTAGGTGGTGATAAAGGTTGGACAAGGAATTTTGTATCACCAAATACAGATCTGAATTTCACTGAGGATGGAAAAGGCCCAGTGAACATTCCTGGATCTATCACAGAGGAGAGTGAACCGATTGACTTTTTATCCTTGTTTTTGGATGATACTTTCTGGCAAAATTTGACAGAGAAAACCAACCTCCGGGCCCACCAATTGCATATAGCAAAGCCCAACTCCTACAATGCCAGAAATTTCAAGGATGCCACAGTGGAAGAAATGAAGGC